GTCGACGGGACAAACCCCGTTTTTAATGATGTTCGGCCGTGAGTCTCGTTTACCCGCAGATCTGCTATTCGGCGTCCCTTCCCCCCAGCCGGAGGAGGGAAGCCGCCCCGTGGAACACCTGTTGGAGACCCTGCGAGAAGCCCGAGGCCGAGCATACCCGCAAGGGGAAGCCGCGCATCGGCGGCAGGAACAGGGCACCCGACCCCGCATGGAACCCCCTTTATTCCTGACAGGCGCTAAGGTGTGGCTACACACCCCTCGCGTCGGGGCCGGGCAGGTGGGGAAACTGACGACCTACTGGCGGGGACCCTGGACCGTGGTGCGGCAGATATCCCCCTGGACGGTACTAATTTACGGCGGGGAGAGGGGTCGAGAGACGGTGGTCAATGTCCGCCGCTTAAAACCATGGAAAGCGGCCCCGGCGAGAGAGGACTCCGTCACCCGAAAGCCCCGAAATCCCGGAGTACCCGCACCCCTCGTGTTGGGGGGCCTCGCACACTACATGGGCCCCGCCTGGTCCCCGAGACGCCCCGATCCAGTCCGGAGACGGCGCGGACGACGGCCACTAAACCCTTCCGCTGCTGAGTTTGTGCCCCAGCCCACAGGTGCCGGGGGACGGGGAGAGCCGCTGGAGTGGAGGAGGAGACCGCCGCAGGAGCTACAGAGGACGGAACCACCCGCCCCGAGGTCAGCCACCAGGTCCGGACGGATCCCCCGGACCCCGCAACGTTTCCTCGTGGGCGCGGCCCAAGCGAGGTGCTCCAGTCAACCCGGGACGGGGACTGGCACCTCGGGGGGCTATGTGATGCCGCCGCTACGAAGCCGTTCGGCAGGCACCAAATCCCCGACCTCGCCACCACCAAGCAACGGAGCTGTGGTGCCACAGCGACGGGGCCGCTCTGCCGAGCCAGGGAGCCGCCCGGCTTCCCCCACCGCACTGCCCCCCATCACCCGCCCCACATAAGCACACACCCGCATGCATCCCCCCCCCCCCCATAGAGCTGGAAGGGAAGGTTACCTGATCGACCGGTTTTTATCCAAGAGACCCTTATCGGGATTAATTCTCACGGTTTCCGGCGATCAGGGAATTGGATGACCTCCCCCGTGCTACGTGGTACCGCGGCGCTGCTGCCGGCCTTAATATGGTGTGGTCGCGGCGTGGGGCATTCGGCCACCGCGGTTGAGGCGCATTTCCCCCCACACACACCCCCACGAGTCGACGGGGCAAGCACGGGAGGCACGAGACAGCATGAATAGCGGGGTCACAGGGGCTGTTGCGCATAGTCATGGAGGGTTGGGATAATTGCGCTTGAGCGCGCAGGCCCCATTGTTAGGGAGGGTAAGGGATTAATTAGGATTTACGCCTTGCACGCAGCACACTGATTAGCATATCAACAGCGCCTGGGGACTGCCGTGCGCGGGCTTGGGGTGCACGAGCCCATTGTTCAGCGCAGCATCCCCTTTGGAGGTAGGGAGGATAAATAGAGGAGCGCAGAGGGGAAATCGCTCTCTTCTCTCCAGCGCCAGGCGACAGGACGCTCTCCAGTCCAGCGACCCGATCGTCCGTGAGACGCATCGAGGTGCGCTGCGAGCACGGGATCAACGAACCGCCGTGGGCATCCAGCAGGAAAGACAACGCAGCGTCTGCAGGTGAACGAGGGCGTGCGGCGAGCTATGCCTCTCACACGAGCTCGCGGAGGGACGGACCAGGGAGGGGAGCCGTCGGGCGATGAGCCCAGCGACGGCAGCAGCTGCTCGCAGAGCAGCGAGGGGTCGGCGCACGGCGGAGCCCCTGCCATAGGCACGGAGCAGGGAGGGACTCCGGGGACCAGCGGCCCCAACAAGAGCTTCGCCACAACAACAAAAACTCTATTATGGATATTGGTCGCGAAAGCCTGCGTATTAAACTAAAACATAGTAGTCGACGTTTCGGGCAATGGACTTTCTTCACGGCACACGCCGTATATGAACGTTCAGTAATCGGCTCTCAACGCACGATTTCGATGCGGTGCATCCGATCGTCCGTGCCTCGCTGTTCGCCACGCGGCCCCCGCCGGCCGTGTGAGTGGCGGGACCACCACTGCCCTCTGGGGGCCACAATGCGGCCGTGTGAGTGCCGGGACCACCACTGCCCTCTGGGGGCGACGATGCGGCCGTGTGAGTGCCGGGACCACCACTGCCCTCTGGGGGCCACGATGCGGCCGTGTGAGTGACGGGACCATCACTGCCCTCTGGGGGCCACAATGCGGCCGTGTGAGTGCCGGGACCACCACTGCCCTCTGGGGGCGACAATGCGGCCGTGTGAGTGCCGGGACCACCACTGCCCTCTGGGGGCCACAATGCGACCGTGTGAGTGCCGGGACCACCACTGCCCTCTGGGGGCCACAATGCGGCCATGCGAGTGACGGGACCACCACTGCCCTCTGGGGGCGACAATGCGGCCGTGTGAGTGCCGGGACCACCACTGCCCTCTGGGGGCCACAATGCGGCCGTGTGAGTGCCGGGACCACCACTGCCCTATGGGGGCGACAATGCGGCCGTGTGAGTGCCGGGACCACCACTGCCCTCTGGGGGCCACAATGCGGCCGTGTGAGTGACGGGACCATCACTGCCCTCTGGGGGCCACAATGCGGCCATGTGAGTGCCGGGACCACCACTGCCGTCTGGGGGCGACAATGCGGCCGTGTGAGTGCCGGGACCACCACTGCCCTCTAGGGGCCACAATGCGGCCGTGTGAGTGCCGGGACCACCACTGCCCTCTGGGGGCCACAATGCGGCCGTGCGAGTGACGGGACCACCACTGCCCTCTGGGGGCGACAATGCGGCCGTGTGAGTGCCGGGACCACCACTGCCCTCTGGGGGCCACAATGCGGCCGTGTGAGTGCCGGGACCACCACTGCCCTCTGGGGGCGACAATGCGGCCGTGCTGATGATACATGTGCGCAGTTTAACACGTCGGAAGACCTTCGCGACCAATATGATCCATAACACAGGTTTTTTTTTTTTGGGGGGGGGGGGGGTAGATCGCGTAAATATAAAAATGTGTCGTTAAAGCCTCCACAGCCAATGATTAAGGTGTATCACGTAAACAGAAGGTGCCAATTCGTTGCGAGCACAACGCACCGGTTGTGTGTTGAAAAGCAAAGCCACTACTACACGTGCACACACACCGCACGCGTCTACCAAACCGGTTTTTTTTATTTCACAAAAACAAAATATATTTTAGTCCAAATACTCTTCAGCAAATATTGACAACTGTAAAAAATATACACAAAAAAATGGAAAATTAAGGCTAGCAGAGGATGGTTTCGATCCATCGACCTCTGGGTTATGGGCCCAGCACGCTTCCGCTGCGCCACTCTGCTTGACGAAATCCACACGGCGCAACGCGGCTACTTGAAAGGCACTTCGTGTGGCCAGGAGCTGCTAATGCAGCTTATGGGGTCTCTGTGTAAGCATATGGGTCTCTATGTAAGCATATGGGTCTGTATATATGGCTATGGATCTCTATGTAAGCATTCAGTATCTATGTAATTCTACGAGTCTGTACGCCTATGGGTCTACATTTAAGCGTTTGGGTCTCTAAGCATGAGTATTCGCAATTCATAGCTGCTCTGTGAAAGTGTATGGGTCTCTATGTAAGTGTGTCTGTGCAAGCCTATGGGGCCGTCCATAAATGACGTCACGCAATTTTGGACGTTTTTTGACCCCCCCCCCTCGTCACACGGCGTCACAAAAAGTCAGACCCCCCTCAAATATGACGTCACAAAGCTCTGCCCCCCCCCCTTTCAAAACCATATTTCCATTTTGAAAAAAAACATGCTTCAAATCGCTTTAAACTATTGTCATTGTAGTGCGTATTTAATGTGGCGATGCACTCTGATGTTGTAGGAGAAAACATTTATTAAAAAGTATATTTAATTAAGTAGAACGTGTTGTTTATATTTATTAAAAGTTGCGCATTTTGATGTGACGTCACATTTCTCAACCCCCCCCCCCCTCGTCACACATCGTCACAAATGTCTGACCCCCCCCCTCCCCCTAGGTGCGTGACGTCATTTATGGACGGCCCCTATGGGTATTTATTCAAGGCATTAACATCGTTTCATTACATTACCGGTAACCCAATTGGACGCACAAGCCCGGCAAGTAAAAACAAACCTGCGGATTTGTCTCGGGATGCCTTCAGCCACGCAGCAGTGGCTCGACACAGAGGTCGACTAAATTACATCGTCACCCGAGTCCCCGTCTGGTCAACTCCACGTCTGGTCAACTCCCCGTCTGATCAACTCCCCGTCTGGTCAACTCCCCGTCTGGTCAACTCCCCGTCTGATCAACTCCCCGTCTGATCAACTCCCCGTCTGGTCAACTCCCCGTCTGATCAACTCCCCGTCTGGTCAACTCCCCGTCTGATCAACTCCCCGTCTGGTCAACTCCCCGTCTGGTCAACTCCCCGTCTGGTCAACTCCCCGTCTGATCAACTCCCCGTCTGGTCAACTCCACACCGCCTCGTGCTCACGTCGGTGGCTCTGTCCACCCGGCCAGCGCAGGGCGCCCCGATCACGCGAACTGCTCGGGGCTGGCGGGGAGAACAGCGAGCGGACGACGTCGTTGGCACGATACCACAAGGAGCTCGAGTCGGATAACCTTACGTCACGGCACAGCGTCGCTGCTATAGAGCTCACGGCGTGTTGGTGTTGTTCGTGGCCCAGTGTGGGTTGATTGTCAGCGAGCGGTCGCTGTCCATCCTTTTACAAGGGAAAACCGCAGTGCCATCATCCCTGAGATCAGGGGCCGTGTTACCCAATAGGACACACTTGGCAGTGTGTCCAGGGCCTACTCACCCACTCACCAGGGCCATGTTATACAATAGGTTACAGTCAGCAGTGTGTCCAGGGCCTCATCACTCAGCCACTCACCAGGGCCGTGCTATACAATAAGCCACAGTAAGTACTGCATCTCGGGGTCTACGAAAACTAAAGGGCCGACAATTGTTTTTACCACGTTTTTTTTATTTATATAGCAAGGGCAGGCAACACTGTAGATACAAAGAGGCAGAGTCAATGTCAATCTTTTTTTCTTCATAAGGTGAGAGAGAAATTAACACCGGAGATGGACTTGTAGAGATTTTTTTAATATTGCTAAATTAGCAATAACCTGTCAAATGGTGTTTTTCGCACAATCTCATTAATTACACTATGTAACACAATTTTTGTTCCTGTTATTTTTTAATTGTTTATGCCTAAAACACAAAACTCAACATAATTATAAAGAAAACGTGGCCTTAAAAGGGAAAAAAATAAAATTGGTGTTGTTTCCGGTCTTTACATAGCACATCAAATTATAGCATTTATCTATGAAAAAGTACCATTGCACAAAATGTCGCCTCGTGTATTTTTCCTTTTAAGACCGTGGTGTTGACAAATGTGTTTCACAGAAAGCTGTGCTGGCAATTCCCGACAGAACCGATCATTCCCTTTGACACTGGCCAGGCGCACACCACTCGAGACCCAGGGCACACGGCCGCCCGATAAACACACAACGGAAATGGAATTAAGAAACGCTGCTTTCCAGGCTGGGCGCTGCACACGTGGGCATCACAAGGGCTTCTTCTTGTGCCCCACTGCGGGTCCGTTCCTGACGAGTCTCAGCAGCGACAGCAGGAGGCCCAGTGCGTAACCGCATACAGCCCCCATGGAACAGGTGATGGGCCAGGCCTGCACAGCAAACCGAGGCGGAGATACAGAGTTGCTCTCAACGGGGCCCACAACCGGTACCCTCCCAGCCAACTGCGCCACAGGGCCAGCGAGCACGGCCGTGCTTAAGGGGGAGCGCGCTCCTGCTCCCTCATATTGATTGAATTTGTAAATGATGAAACGAATGATCATGAAACAAATTGTGCAGGCCGGAAAAACATGAGTTTAAATAAAAAAAAACACGTACAAAGATGTGAAATGCACACAGCCTTTGTGCATTATGCAGAAACCCTCAGCAGTTTATGAAGAACTGCATTGTGGTTCTCTTGCCTTAGTTCACCAAACTAAATTCATGCAACTGTGACTGATAGGCAACAGCAGAGGTGTGGACTCGAGTCATGTGACTTGGACTCGAGTCAGACTCGAGTCATGAATTTGATGACTTCAGACTCGACTTGGACTTGCATAACAATGACTTTGTCCCACCTCTGAGGTGTGGACTCGAGTCATGTGACTTGGACTCGAGTCAGACTCGAGTCATGAATTTGATGACTTCAGACTCGACTTGGACTTGCATAACAATGACTTTGTCCCACCTCTGGGCAACAGTGATATAGAGATAGATACTTAAAGACCGGTTTCATTATAATTAGAACTCATCCGCACAGGATAAGCAACAATGGTCACTGCTGCTAAGTCTGTTAAGCTCATTAGCTCGGCTAATTCCAACAATAATCAAATCCCTTACAAAATCTGTCATCCTCCTATAACACCTATCGCTAATGCTGTCACTGCATAATGATCTTTAAAAATATCACTTCATTACCATGCTCTTCAAAGTTTAAGCCATTATCTTTCCCTGTAAAACTTTGTTTGGTTTTGGATTGCATTACTCCCAGAGGGAAATGCTCTTCAGTCGCAGTACTCCACTCGTGCAAAACCGAATAACAATAACTCGACGGCGCATATTGCAGTGAATAATTGTGATGGGGCCCCAGTGAGAGAAATTGTGGCAGACCTGCCAGGGCCGGTCCCAGTCCAGGGGAATGGGCAGGGCCCCAAGCCACGCGCCCGTCAGTGTGCACGTGGCGCCCACACACAGGCCCTGCTCCCAGGGAGACGCCGCCCTGCAAACAAACAGTTACCCAGCTTTACATGCCACGAGCAATACTCATTCACCCTCTCCCGTTACGATGGTGTACGTCGTCGGTTTTTCTTCCGATTACGTTTTGACGACGTACGTGAACATCATAAAAATAGCGGAAGAACATTTTTAATAAATACTGTACTTAATATTTACTTGGATTTAGAGCTCAAGGTAAGTTGCAGTGCTGTTATCAGAACCTGTTTCATAGAATGACACTTTAAGTAAACTATAGGCACATAGGGTAACGGTATGGAGCAACTGGTTTTTGTGAATGTACATTCCATTATATGTGGATATTTGCTAATACTCATGCGGAAAAAAAACACATTTTCCGACAGGGAAAGATGAAATGTTCTCTGTCAGTACATGCATTTGCCATGTAGCCCAGTGGAACTTGCATGTACTGTAAACTTAATCGGTACCCAGGCTCCCACAAGGCCATGCGGGAGAGCGTGTGGCACAGTTTTTCAACAGCTATTATAGAGTGTGGCAGTCGTGTTGCTCCATTTCTCTGCGGTGAGTAAAGTCCTTAAAAACAATGGCGCTATGCCTCTAAAATAAATTAACGTTGAACCGCTTGTGCGTTTCGAGATTCAGCGATGAACGGGACACCCACCCTGCGACTTGCAGACGTATCCGAACGGGAAATGGTTTATAATCATTCACAGTCCTCTCTTAATCAATTGTTGAATGAAGGCCTCCCCTTAGTATTCAAACCATTTGCCAATGAAGCTAAACACGGCCGGGAATCAAAATCAGGTCACTGAGTTCGTAGCACCACAAATTATAAAACAGGATTCCCTCGTTATTCGCGAGGGATACGTTTCAGAGATGCTCGTGAATAGCCTGTTTCGCGGATAATTATATTGGCCTACGAAAACCTATCCCGCACTGTGGCGGTTAATGGTGCTGCACTAAGCTGGACTAGATCGTATTTATCGAATTGCAAGCAATTTCTTAGCCTGGGTGGCTCTAAGTCCACAACCGGTAGTTTAATTATGCATCCCCCGGGGCCCATTCCTGGGTCCACTTCTTTTCTATACCTACATGCCCCCGCTAGGTACCACCTTTCATTATTTAGGTCTCAAATTACACTTTTATGCTAAAGACGCTGACATTTGCATTCATTGGAAATTGAATGAAATTGATTCCCTGTGTTGTCTTGTCCTCACTTTCACTTATCACAGCTTGGATGCAGCACAAACCTCCTCCAACTGCTAAACGCCGGGTCCGCTAAGTCTCATGATCGGCAGCCACAACATACGACCTCCACAGGAAATCTGGAATCTCGATGTGTTCCTCGATCCATTATTAACCTTCGAGGAGCACATTAATAACATCGTTAAGAGTCGATTTTTTTTCATTTAAGGAACATTACCCGGATACGTCCAATCCTCTCAGCTTACCCACAAATGACTCGCATTGCAATCCTCGCCCCCTACTGACCCACCGCTAAATCAAGACTTGCGTCACCTCGTCTCGCACAGGGACAGCGCTCTGAATTGGGGGATCTGTGTTCCGAAGACGTTTCGTCAAACGACGGGGAGAGCGCAATGTACACGTGGGCTCATTCACGATCCATTCATTGATAATGCGGTGCAGACCAACTCATCACTCATCGCTCACCCGCTACTGGTGAAAACGCGCAACCAGGCGGAGAGGTTGGGACCGAGGATGCAGAGGCATGGCAGGGCCGTGAAGGTGGTCAGCAGAATCGAGAACACGGACGTCTCCAGGGCCAGGCTGGATCAGAAACGCAGAGAAGCAGGGCAACAGTGAGGATGCGTGCACAACGTGACGTCATCAGCAGAAGCAGCAGCGGCACACGACATGAACCCTGGCATGCCCTGCACGGCTAAACTATGTCACCATTCCGGTGCACATGTATGTTATATATGTTGAACTTCTTTCGCACCATACGTAGCCAACCGTGCTAATCGGAGGTGCACACAGCCTTGCGATTTGTACTTGCTCAAGAGAGCCCAGACTGTTTGTAGGCAGAAGAACAACACAGAAACGCATTACTGGTCGGAGCCCCCATTAGGACTTCTCAATGCAGTGCTGCCACATGTGCCTGAACGACCCATTTTGAGTATCCCTCAGCCTCCTCGAATGCCATGCTCTGAGAGAATCGTTTTTGTTACAGGTTTATCGTTTTAATCCCAGGGAGCTAGAATCCTGCCAGATTTAGTGACAGGGCTCCTCACGGCAGTGCGTTCGTCGCTTGTTCCAAAGGTTCACAGTTCGAATTAATCGACCGCCCTAATTAATACCACGGGTGTATTAAGCATAACAGTACGGACCGTCTGTTTCACGGTAGAAGTAAAAATTCTCTGACGTCATGAAAATTAGGCCATTGTGCGCTGGAGTCACTGTCAAAATTTGCCAAAGATTAAAAAATTACACCAAAAAAATTACTCAATTGGAATTACACATGGCAACATCGCTCCATACTGCAAAACTACTCCAGACTGTATCATACATCATGCCTTCTTTTGCGAAAGCCTTGGGCGATGAGAATGGAATACATGCCAAATGCGCTAAATTATCAGTGAGCGTTATTACCATTCAAACAGTGAGTGTCCTTTGTGGCTGAGGTGCTTACTGAATGACTGGTGCTCCAAAGAGAATGGTGACCGCATGGAAGAACAGGCAAGAGATCACGAGGTACGCACAGCTCTTCATCGCTACTCGCACCTAGGAGAAACACGATGTCCCATGATAATCAACAAAAAATGAAACCATTCAAATTACTCAGAAAAGCTTAACCCTGCGTTGGAATGTTTGGCCAATTTCATTTGAGTATGGAAAAAAAACCTGAGAACCTGGAGAAAACCCAATGCATTGAAGGGAGGTGACACTCAGCACTTACCAAACTATTTTTTATTTTACCAAGTAAGGCCCACTTGAGCTTTATAGCCCCTTTTCAGAAGTGACGTAGCCAGAAATGGATAGCTCAAACAAATGGCGTATGTGGAAATTCATAGCAGCCAAATACTCTAAACTTCCATCTCCTCAGAACACAGATGGCAAGCCCTGATAATTACCCATCTAAATACTAACCAGACTTGCATTTGCTAAGCTTTTAAGATCTGTTAAGATGAGGTGCATTGAGGGCGATTTGGTCAGAGGCGAGAGGGAGAAGCCATGATGGGCCGTGTCACCGCCCCTCGTAACCGCAGTCGAAATGACAGCGGCACACCTTGGCGGCCAGCGTGGCCCTGCGGGACGCGTGGCGGCGGCGGGAGGCGACGCACAGGAGCAGCAGCAGCAGCAGCGCGTGGGTGAGCGCCACCGCCAGCGCTAGGCCCACGAGGCAGCGCACGGGGGAGCGGACCACGGCGCCGCCGACGCCCCCCAGCGCCAGAGCGAGCACCAAGAGCAGCGCCACCTGGGCCCCCGCGGCCTGCCGGCGCTGCGGCTCCCACGGCTGCCCCATGGGAACCGGGACTTACGGGGACGTGGGCTGGTTCCTGTAGACTGCACAACAAGAAAGATCCCTGCATGATGGAAAATAATCAACTTTACCCTTTCTGGAAAGAATGCAGGTGTTAAGATGTTCAAACACCCAAGAGACACCTATTTCAAGGCAAGTCTGCGTTGACCACAGATGCTTGTGGAAAAAAATGCAAACGTGCTATGATAATTACGTATGCATTGTCTTTGAAACTGAATAGCCTACACCAGAGACAGTCTTGTTGATGGCCTTGTCGCATCGGTGTTAGACTAGAGCAGGGGTCGGCAACCTACGGCTCCGGAGCCGCATGCGGCTCTTTACGGGCTGCTTCTTGACGATGAGTACGTGAGTAGTATGTACTCAGATGCATTGCGGCTCTTGAAATACTGAAATTTTGTACCGAATTGGAAAGAAATGGCTCTTCTTGTTATTTTGGTTGCCGACCCCTGGACTAGAGAATGCCAAAAGGCGAACGATACAGAGGCAATGCAAATCTCAAAGCATTAATAGCTGGATTGAGCAGTTATATCTATGGGACCTTTATTTGCCGGTATCAAAATATGAAAAATAATCGGCTTTAACACCTTCTGGCAATAAAACAGGTGTTGAGATGTTTAAACACCAAATTGATAACTTTATTTGCAAAGAATCAAGTCTGCATTAAGTAGGTACATGTGGCGAAACATTCAAAGATGCCTGATGATGTTATTATAGGCATCGTCTTTGGAACCGATTGGCCTTCACGAGGAAAGGAACAGAAAAACGACGCAAATTCTCTCTGTTGAAGCCGTCAACCCCTTATCAGTGCCTTGCCTTATCACAGACCGCCAATTCAGACCGTATTGGTCACCCCGTGTCCTTATAAATCTCAACATTCATCCTACAAAGCCCCATCACAAGGGAGACACACACAAAGTGAATGTTGTGTTGTTGCCCATATTGAAACGTCTGTCCGCCGCATGGCCCTGACAACTCACGTTCCTCTTCTTGGTTCTTTCGGTAAAGTCACGTAGAAGGGAAATAATAAAATAAAACATAATAAAATACAATTTTTATCATTATTTCCCTTCTACGTGACTTTACCGAAAGAACCAAGAAGATGAATCCCTGCAGTCACGAAAGCTTTAAATCGAAAAATGCACCTTCCCTGTGCACGAACACGTGGAAGTAATCCGCGTGGGTTGGCAGCTCTGTGGTGCCCTCCCTGTGGGCAGCAGCAAACCTCGACATTGACATCAGAGTCCAGATCATGCAGCCTCACATTGATGTAAAGCGCCCTTTGATTGTATTAGAAGCTGCGATGACAGCTTGTAATCACCATTGGTACCTCATTTGCCAGTAAAAAATATAATTGTTTTTTTACCCTTTTTTGAGGTACCAATGGTGTAAATGCTTACCAGAGCTCTCATACGCTGATGGTGCATTGTCTTTGAGTTGTGCGCCTTTTGGCGTCATCTGGTCCAACACCATGTGAGACTAGGCTCTAAGGAAAGCTGTCTCGGGTGTGCAACAATCAACTTCAAGGACAGTGCACATTATCAGAGTTATGTTTTTTGTTTGCATTATGACTGCAGGTATTGTGGTCTATGCAAACATGACTCCTCGTAAAAAAAAGGTGCCAGTTTTGTTGCCAGATAGAAGGGTAAAAAAACAATTATCAGCTTGTAATCAATGTGAAATCAGCTCGATGTTGACGACTCGGGGTCGTAGGGGGGGGGGGGGAGGCGACGGCTGAGGAAGGGAGGCCTTCATCCAGCAGTGGACTGACCATGGCGCATGATGTTGATGTGAATGAGTTGATCTCGGATTACCTCCGCGGCCTCTCACGCCCCCGCCATCCTCCTCTTGCTCCCCACGGCGACACGGGGCAGCCCCCTCCTGCACCTCACTTCACGCACTCCCCTCTCACTCTCGTGTCACGCAACCCTCGCTAGCTGCCTCGCTGCCCCCCACGCTCTCACGCTCTCCCTTCCCTCACTGCCTTCACTATCTCCCTCACTTGCCTCACGCTCTCTCACACTCACCTCACGCAATCACTCTCACTCTCCCCTCCCTCTCTCACCCTCACGCTCTCACTCACGCTCCCCTCACTCGCTCACTCTCCCCTCTCACTCACTCTGCCCTCCCTCTCTCACACTCACTCTCTCACACTCACTCTCTCACACTCACTCTCTCACACTCACTCTCTCACACTCACTCTCTCACACTCACTCTCTCACACTCACTCTCTCACACTCACTCTCTCACACTCACTCTCTCACACTCACTCTCTCACACTCACTCTCTCACACTCACTCTCTCACACTCACTCTCACACTCACGCTCTCACTCACCCTCCCCTCTCTCACTCTCCCCTCCCTCTCACTCTCCCCTCACGCTCTCTCTGACTCTCCCCTCTCTCACACTCCCCTCCCTCTCACACTCACTCTCCCTTCACGCTCCCCTCACGCTCTCGCTCTCTCTCCCCTCCCTCTCTCTCTCACTCTCCCTCCTCACGCTCCCCTCACTCACGCTCCCCTCCCTCCCTCTCTCTCACGCTCACTTCCTCGCTCTCCCTATGAATGAGTAACCTCAGCTGTGTGAACCTCGGAGACGGAAGCCGCGTGGCCCCATCTCTCCGAGAAACGCGATTGTGAAATGTGCGGTGGGGTTGGGGAGGGGCTCGGGCCCTCAGTGAACCTCCCCGAGGGTGTCAGGGGGAGGGCATGGGCGATCTGCGCATGCGCGTTGCGACCCGCGCGAAGTTTCAAACTCACATCGGCCACGCTCTGGAAGGAAGAACAGCACGTGGAGGATTCCTCCACAACTCTGGCTGCCGCCTGATGATGCCGCTCGCAATTACTGGCCGAAACGTCGTACTCAGATTGTAAATGTTGTCATTTGCTCTCCGACACAACCGGTGTTGCTCTACTGAGTAACGAATTGCCACGTTCTGTTTACGTGACAAACCCCTTACTCATTTGGCTGTGTCGGGTGGTGGTGGGTTTAACGACACATTTATTTTTACGCGATCTAACCCATGAAACAAAAAAGCTGTATTATGAGTTACAAACTCATTGAGCTGAATAACGAAACAGACAATATACCTCATTCAGTGGCGGATTAAGCTAGTGCGTGGCCTGAGAGCTGGGCTGTTCTGCTAGGTCAACTCTGGGAATGAAGCCGCCGTCCACGTTTCTCGGTCTCTGGTCTCCGCTAGTGGACCAGGCAGCGTGTTGAGCTGTCCTGGTCCAGTAATGTAGCAGTATCCCCGTGTATTAGTTAAGTTAGGAACGGTGGCTACCACCCTATGTCGTTATCCTGTTAATGTTAAGAGTTACCCGTTGTGTTAGCTAATAAAGAGTGTTGCCTCCAAAGTTCCAGTATGCGCTTGAATTTAACCCACTACACATGTACGAGTTCGTGTTTGAAGTCAATGTTTAACCGAGCATATTTCATGGAAGCTGGTTCGAAAATCGGGTGTTCGTAAGTCGATGACTGCCTGTACTAGCTTCGTGGGGTAGAGACCACGTTCTAGGAGTAGAGACTATGCCCCACAGGGATCAGAGTTATCTGTGCATGTGGGCAATGTGGCTCAATGTGAGATTTCGATGTCCAGCCTCAGTGGTTTGGTACTGGCGCTGGGCATAGGAGTCTTCCGGTGAACGTTCCTGAATCCGAGTTGATGGCTCAATTTTAATGTGCAATTCCATTGAGCGACTGCGTGTTGTCTTGCTGTGGTCTGGGATTGTTCTTTGTTTTGCCGCTTTTCCCAAAATTGCATTTAGTATGGAAAAATTGTAAGGAATTTATGTACTTTCGCAATTTGTACTTGGGCACCGTGAGACATTAGGCACCTTACATGTAAATTAGTACAATATATTTCATTTCTATTTAGTGACTTGTTTAGCTTTGCTATATTGTACTTTGCCCTCCAATCCGTTGTTGTGCTGTTTGTTGTTGTCACGTTCTGAGATCTGTAAGAAAATGAGCTTCATAGTTCATCGGATTTTTCCAGTCTGAATTATGATTCCGATTCTGTTAGTTCGGGCATATTCCATTTGCAGGTGACAGTAGGAAGTGTAATGCGGAGGGAGCACTGTGCAGGACTCGCCTCCTCACAACCCCTGGACAGGCCGAGTCCTGGTAGTCGTGACGTTCTGTGCTGTTTACACTTTTCAATAAAGAAACCGCACAAGCAAAAAAGCAATGCAGACAACAGTTTCGTCGAAAGGATTTAATTTACATTGCCGTGTTAATAACCCTGCTGGATTACACACCGAGGATTAAGCGTTGCATGTAAGAGTTGAACGTTGTCCATTGACACCGGCTGTGTTACGTTGACCCCACAAAAGAAAAGTGATTTGCAAAATGAAGGGGCAATTGCACGTGAGGGTCAACTTGTTATCTCATGAAGTTGCATATTTAAAAAAAAAATTTGCTTGATCTTAAATAGTTCACGTAAGGCACTCTCCGCCGTTACAATTTCATGAATTGCGCAGACTGCAGTGGTGGGGTTCACCAATCATGCCTCCATGTCCGAAGAGCTGCTGTCTGTCCAATCTGATGCGGCTCCCCATCCAGCTTGACACGTGTGCTGTCAAGACTACAATCTTCAGTCGGACAACAAAGCGTGGTGCAGGCTGCTGCTGCTGTGTGAACACAGCGTGTGGGGCGGCGGGGGCGGTGGGTGTACAGCAAAGACATTGAGCCTCCAATCACAATCAGCTAAAAGTGTTGACTGTAAGAAGGTTGAATCGGCATGGGTCAGGATACAGCTCGGTCAGCAGAGTGAGAGGCATACAATCGTTGTGCCACAGTTCTTATCCCAGCCACAGTCCAGCTCGCCCTATCACGCTGTCTTTCGTTTCCCGATATATTGGCACCAGCATAATGAAGTGGAATTTGCATCGCTGGTGCAAGACCTCCGTCAAATTGTTTAAAATTGCATAGAGAAAATTGGGATGTATTCATTATGGAATATGCATGCCAGACTTACACTGGTTGAGACTTATCAGTACAAAAGAGCTAGCAGTGTCAATTACAATTCAACACGTAGGTTTTCACGACCAATATTATGCATCATAAAGGTTGTTGGGTTAGAGCATCTAAATATAAATGTGTTGTTAAATCACCACCACCACCCGACACAACCGATTAGTAAAGTTTGTCACAAGAAACGAGACCCGCCAATGAGCTGTTACTTCAGCATCATCGGTGTGATGGCGAGTAAACACACGACATTTACAAACGTGTCACCCATGAGCTATTACTTCAGCACATCGGTATGATCTAACCCAAAAACCTTTACGAAAGTGCAAGTTCCACACATCCATTGTGGGAACACATCCTTGTAATGGGATGACCCATGTTTGTTTAGCGCAAAGTGACGCTCATTTTAAGAACCTTGGTATGGCACGATGGCCTGTGTCAACCTCTGGACAGGATTTGAACTTGGTCGGTTGTGCGTGCGGATCGAGCCCCGTGGCACAGCGAGAGGCACGCGAGGGAGCGCTGCGCGACACAGCGAGGGGGTGGCAGGGTACGGGAAGGAGGAAGGACGGGCGCTGTGCCTGGAGGCGGCTCAGTTCTGGAGGGAGTGGTACTTTCGGGGGATTTGGCAGACGTCGAACTCGCACGCCTCTTGCAGATCTGTCGGGAGACATTAACCAGACCAGCAAAAACCCATGAGTTGGCATCGGCAACAAGGCCCGGCCTGTTCATATCGAGTGGTAAAGGGCAGGAAAATAACCCCATCACCTCACTCTAAGGGTCGCTGCCTCTCTCACAGTAGATGACATGTCAGGGCTATATCGCGATACGACAAAGAATCATGAAACGGAGGGAGGGTCATGTGGGCTGGACACACGCCCGCCGGTCAACTGTGAAGTTTTGAATTTATATAAACCCGCACTTGTGGATTTACCATACAGATATGTGCCATCTGCTTCACAATAGGCGTGAAAGACGATGTGATGACATTCGTAAGAGTGTGCGATTTGTGTGCCGGCTTTAGGGTCCACATTTTACAGTTTAAAAAATGACCCGCAAATGAATAAATTTGGATTACACACAACAATGGTCACCCCAACCGGCCGACTGTTGTCCCAGATCACTCTTGCAAATTAGGTCTCTCTGAGTTCTGTAACTGGTATTGGTGAAATATCCCGATGCTGAAGAGCGACCTGCAAATTTCTCAATTGGAATTAAACGTCGCGAAAAACTTGGCAAAAACCCTCCTGAAAAAGACGAAACAACCGAAGCAACAATAACAAAAATAATAATAAACCACAGCTGTCACCGCTGGTGCCCCGACCTGATTTAGCGCAGGCATTGAGGCCGTCCATGGTCTTGGCGTAGCCGGCCCCCAGGAAGTCTCTGTAGGAGTCGGCCTCCACCTTCACCAGGCACTTGGCGGAGTCCTTGAAGAGCAGGTCTTTGCCTTGGTAGCGCTCCGAGCTGAACAGACTGAATTTCTCTCTGTCCGTGCCACTGCGACCGTACTTCATCTGCAGACGCACCGGAGGGACAGGTGCAATTAGGGCTCACGTTTGGTACTGCCATCGTTATTTTAATACGCGTCATATGTGCTGATCAACAATAACATAGTTATGTAACCAATTGAAAACTTTCATACGATTTGGAAAACAGCAAAGGAACAACACACAGTCGATGGTGTGTTGGCACATGCCTTTCCTACAGCACTGATTGTAATGACTAGGGGGCCATCTGTATTTGCGTGTGTATAAAAATGTTAATAAATGTGAGTGTGTTTGTCTTTGTGGGTAAGAAGCGGTAGTGTAGTGGTTAGCACGCTGTGCTCTATATGAAGCTCTCTGCCATTTTGGCCACACTTATGCCCTCTCTTCTCTATGCTTGCGAAACGTGGACCCCTTTATAGGAACATCTGCGCCGTTTTGAAACATACAGGCTGGCCTGCCTACAATCCATCCTGAGTTTAACCGGACTGGATTTTGTGAGGAGCTCACAAATCCTCGAAACATCTGAACACAGTCCAATCAGTGAGCTCCTCCGACCGGCAAGGCTGAATTGGCTGTATCACGGAGCCAGCATGCCCAGCCACTGCATGCCCAAGCATTCTTCTTTTTGGCCAGATAGAGGGAGATACATTTGGTACGGCACAAACTCGAGAAGAGTTTGTGCCGTACCAAATGTGGTACAGGGAGATGTGGAGCTGATTGGACTTGCCTATGGTACGAGCAGTGTCAAGATCGGCCTCTATGGAGGACGATTGTGAAGGATGCTACTGGGTGGTTGGAGGCAATCGCCCACCAACAACAATAGAGGGAGGAGGAGCGACGCTCACAACACAAGCGGAGCGCCGGGTGGCTATAACATAATAAGTTGGCACAGTGGGGAGCACAGGTGGTGCATCTACCAGTCATCTCAGTCAACCCACGTCACCTGGGTCTGTCCGGTGACCTCCTACCAGTGAGCATTTCACACTTCACGTGATAGCCTCAAAGTGCACCTAGCCTGGCACAACTGCCAGGGTGACGTCGCCGCCCCTTCTTGGTGAACAGGCGGTTGTTGTTTATTGCGAGTGGCAGTGTGAATGGGTGAATGCGGTGTGTGTGCGTGAGCGAGAATGCTAAGGGTCACGTGTGAGTAGGCATTAGCGTGGCACCTGCGAATCCTTGAGGAATTCCTGCACGGGCATCTTGAGGGCGGCGCGCGTCACGACAGCGTGGGACGGCGCCTGCGCCAGGTGGCACGTCTTGTAGGCAGAGACCGGGGCCCGTCTGCCGTCCGCACACAGCAGCTCGTAGTCGGACGAGCGCAAGTTCTTGGCCCACGCCTCCTTGCTGGCACCTGTGCCACACGCAAAGACAAACAACCATCAATTGAAACTAATCCTTTCGCTCGTGCGACACACATTGGATCGTCTACCACACATTCACGACTCGTGGATGTGTGGTCAAACCCTCGGTTCTTCCGTGGCGAACACCGGGACCCCCTCAGCCTTTCACTGCACGAACGGCAGTAGCCACACAGATGTCAAAACTAGAAAAACTATTTTAATTTGAATAGGTAAGGCCTACTGAGCTATGTAGCTCTTTTTCGGAAGCGGCCGGACCACAAATGATAGATCAACAAAAGTGGCTTATCATCATCACGTGTATATTTATAGCGGACAAATACTCTGAATGCACGTTGACTCTAAATAGGAGTTGGAGAAAAGTCCACGCGACCACGAGGGTTAAACATTTTAACTCCAAATATACAGCAGACGTCAGGGTTGGGATGGAACCGACGACTTCCTGCATGTCAGGCGACTGAGTTAATATCTCGCCACCACGGCACCCCAAAACTGATCCCTGGCCATCGGAACTTACCGTCCGTGTTCTCAGAAACGGTCGTGTGTTTCGCAAAGGCGACGTCCCCAGTCTCCACCAAGCACCTGCAGACACACACAGGGACATGGGGACACGGAGACACAGGGAGATGGGGATACGGGGATACGGGGACACAGAAACACGGAGACATGGCTTTAGAAAATGAGGATGCAACGGGACACTAATGCAGGTACACAAAGACATATTGATGCATAAAACAACTCTACACATTCGTCAATAGCACTGTGTTCTTGAAAGCAACAACACATAACAGGTGACATGGCAATGGCTCTTCCTCATAGCATGTAAACAGAGAGGCCAGCGTGAGAGGGTGCGTGGTACGAGTTGGAGACTTCTTTACATCGTGGGGCCCGAGATGAATAACACTGAGAAATGTTTTCTCATGACCAGTGTTTAAATTGGCACGTGAATAGTTACACGACAGTGGCTGTCCCTGGGAGCACAAAGTGGACACAGCACCTGGTCTGCAAATGGGCATCGCCAGCCGGTCGCGGGCGATGTTGATACGTCACGTTCATACGTGTCTCATCTCAATTCAGTCATTTGCCAGGTACGTTTTCAAATATGGAAAATTTGGTCCACCGTGCTGCCCGGTACACAATGGCCTACTCTTTCTGAACAACGTCACGGGATCTATAACGTCCGCCGTGAATCAGACGGCGCACGTGAGTATTTCACGGTTAATACGCACAACGCAGCATTAAACAGGGGTGGCCCGAAACACACAGACATGGCACCTGCACCTCCCATTAGCACGGCCGGCCACGTGCGGTGCGAACGAAGTTCAACACACAGACACACAGACATACTGCGTTCGTTTTTGGATGCAGTGCATTCCTGCGTTCAGCAGACGCACGTGTCCATGCCGAACGCCACACAACAAAGGGGGCCGGGCGGGGGGCGGGGGGTGGGGGGGGTGGCACAGGCACTATGGGGGGGGGGGGGAGGGGTGGAAGGGGTGGTTGATCAATCCTCAGCAATGGCCGCCTCGCCACATTGTCATGTCGGCGAGGCCCAACGCGCGCGGGAACCCTCACCGGAACGCGCCGCTGTATCCGAAGTATCGCTCGTGGCTGCTAAACTCGCACTTGTGCCTGCCGGAGCTCCCGACGGCCGCCGCCTCCTCCCCGATGCAGCGCTCGCACAGCGACGCCTCCTGCGAGCCCGGCGCGCAGCTCGGCCCGAACAGGCGCGCCGCGCCTACGGGTCGGAGTCAGAATAGAGTCGTCCCTCGGTCAGCGTTCCTCGAAAACGACCGATCCGCCGAATGTAACTGTGAATGGAATATAGGTCGCGCGCGGGGAATTGTTCGGCTGCCAAAAGAGAAAATGTAACGTGAACGAAGCCAGTCGAGGTTTAAACGCTCGTAAATGGGCGTCGCTGATTGGCTGAGGGCATGCGCTCAGCCCCACTTACGAGCGCTCGGATTGGCCGAAATTGGCGCCCGCGTGCATAACGTACACACGGTACCGTGACGTCACAATGATAACGTCAGTCAAAGCCATGGGGTCCTATGGGAGGCGAAACGTTAACCGATAAACCATGAACTGATGTCACTATTAACCGAGGGACTATGTAACTTATTTATTCATACGGGAGGTATCCAATGAGCTATGACGCTTTTTTTCACAGATATATCAGTAGGGGCCATGTCAGAACGTTACAACAACAAGCACTACAAAAACAGGATAGGAGTGAAAAGTATAGGAAAGGTAAATAAATGACTTAAAACATTTTACACATTTCTTTTCTTTTACCAGGTAAAGCCCACTGAACTATTCGCTTAGTTTTCAAAAGCGACCTGGCCAAAAACAATAGCTCAACAAAGTGGCTTATCATGTGGAAACTTACAGCGGCAAATTAATCTACATAACATCGACGCACGGCGATTCTAAACGTGGAGGGAAAAGAGGAGAGCGACCCGGAGGGAAATAAAAAAAATCCACGAAGTGCCATCGAGACGAGTCGGGCTCAGTGCCAAACAGCAGCACAGCAAGCGGGATCACTAGCCCCCTGGCACACGGCAGTACAACAAGCGGGTTCATGGCGATGTTGCAAATGGGTTCCTGATCTGTACGAAGCAAAAGCTACTGCTGGCAAAAAGCCCAGAGGCAGGGGGCGTCTTTTTCCGCCTGTAGCAGAGGGTCAGCGGTTCGAGTCTGTCAGGCCGCCCTGGTTATGAATGCGGTGTGTATGAACCATGCAAATGCGAATTACTCGAGACTCGCAGTTTACGCGAATGCTGTGTCGCAAGAGGTCACACGTTTTGGTATAGGCTTTACCCTTTCTGGCAATAACGTCATGTCGATACTGGCAAATCAAGGTCCCATAGATATAACTGTTCACCCCGAGCTATTAATGCTCTGATACGTGCATTGTCTTTGTACTGTTCGTCTTTTGGCATTCTCTGGTTTGACACTGGTCATACAAGGCCATCAGGAAGGCTGTCTCTGGTGTAGGCCAACCGTTTGTTAGCGTGTTTTGCCACAGACGTGATGCCTTGCAATAGGTGTGTTTATTTTGTGTTTGAACATCTTAACACCTCCTGTGTTATTGCCAGAAAGGGTAAAACCATCATTATTTTTTTCTGAACTCCTCGAGTTGGCGCTCTCAACGACGCAAAATGGCCACTCGTTCAGTTCCTTTGTTGAGCTGGCCTCGTCTGGGACCTAAAGCAACAATACCCTTCTCAATGTTGCAGCTGCCTCGTCTGGGACCTAAAGCAACAATACCCTTCTCAATGTTGCAGCTGCCTCGTCTGGGACCTAAAGCAACAATACCCTTCTCAATGTTGCAGCTGTCGATCTTCCCGTCGGCGACGAGCTGCCCAATGGGGATGTTCCAGCCCGCCGTGCGGTTGATGCCCGTGTGGCAGACGCTCTTGCCCGACAGGTCCTTGAGGCTCACGTCCCGGTTCGTCTTCTTCACGATTGCCACCGCGTAGTACTTCCCTGTGGGGGGGGGGGGGGGGGGGGGGGAGCAAAGCCAGGGACCTCGGTTTGAAACTCTGCCCTAGACTCGAACGCAGGATGATTTTGACCTCCCGCTGAACGCCAACCCCGACCAGTACCCTGGCTCCAGGGTAATCGCGGTGGTGAGATTTTAACTACCTCGCCCGGTTTACAGGAGGTCAGTCAGGTAAATCCACCATTTGATGGAGGCCTCCCCAAGCCATCGCCATCTCTGATGGTCCTGGGATGTCGCAATACATCCAACGACCATACACGAGCTAATTTCATTGCTTCATCTCGGCAAATAAAATATATCGGTTTGACTGTCATCGTGCGTGCATGGAAAAGTGAAACCCCAACTGTGTTAAGGATGAATCAGCTACTTGAAGGAACATGGGGCGCACTGTTTCTGGGTGGTTTTCAAAAAGGATTCTACATTTTGTGCCATGAAGTCGTCGGATTCCTCCAGTATAAATACATATTCTGATTCTGACTCATTATTATTGTGAAACTTCACCATCCTGCTGCCTGAGCAGGTTTCAGTCGCCGGCGGCGTGGTCGTCTTACCCGTGGCAATGCCTGTGGCTTGACCGCTGCACACTTTGTCTGTCGGCAAGAGACAAGAGCGAGGAAGGCAATGATTATTGATGAGACGCGGCCCTTTTTGAAGCGCAAACGCGGAAACAAGAATGTAACTCTGACATCGGTGACTACGCCCTCGATCTTCTACGCTGGGGCACCGCGCAGGCCCCCAACACCGTGCCGCCAAACTGAAAGCCGTCGCCCCTCCTGCCGTCAACACCCCGCAGGCTCTGCGAACACCTGGCTCCCGCCCATGGGGAGTTGGGGGCCGTTTTGCCATAATCCATGACACATGCCTCGCTATTGAGTGTCGTCCACCCTCAACTCGTCTCTCCGCGCTCACTCTGTCCCGCCCGCCAGACGGTAACGCGAACATTATTCCGAGCTCTCGGGCCTTCCAGACCTCCTCCTCCTCCGCAGGGAACGCTGCTTCATCGTCGCCAGGTGATTCGCGCTGGCAAACCTCCTCTCCGCCTAAATCCTAAGCGATGCTCAACCGTGGACCAACCCGCGTGGCGAGTACGCGCCCAAAGTACGTTTTCAACTCAAATCGCTCATAGGCATCCGGGCACCATTTTAAAGATCCACCCGTTGGAAAATCACCCGTCGCTCCCGCAACTCGCGCAAACTGTGTAACTGTGTTTGCGAAATATAGTCTATTTGTGATTGCTACATAAATGATTCCTACGTAGATTCCAACTCAATAATATGCAGGTCGTTGGTCAAATTAGGATAATGATGCCGTCACACAGTGGCCCACTCCTTAAAATGACGTCACAGGACCTTAACTGTGAACCAGTAGTTCGCCAGCAGCATTAACCAGGGTGGTCGCTGGATATGAGCCGTGAACTTCTGTAGCAAGCGGTGACGAGATGTTAACTACCTCACCTCGTATACAGGAGAACGGCTCCTGTAAATGTCCACGTGATAAGCGACTTCATGGAGCTATCATTTGTGGCCAGGTCGCTTCTGAAAAAGAGCCATGTGGCTCAAGTGGGACTTACCTGGTAAAATAATTTTAAAAGTTTAGTTTTAATTTAGAACGCTCTTCTGCAAGGCCATGTCACCGCCCATCACAAGGCGGTTGGCGGGGGAGTGCTGTGTGGTGGCGCACGTGTGCGGGTGCGTACCGTCATCGTAGTACTCCGCCATGACGGGAATGAGTCCGCACTTCCCGGCAAGGTACACCTGCCCCCCGTCGAGACTCATGACATCCGCCTCGCCGTTCTGCCGCGATAGAGGAGGGGTCCATATTCTTAGGTTTTTTCGGTAAAGTCACGTAGGTAAAAAATTAAAATTAATAAAAGTAAATAAAAACTATAATAAAAATCAAGACCGTTTCGGAGGCAAACAAAGCTTCGCTTAGGTGGAACTTCACGCCGATTGCTGTATCAAGTAAGAGCAATTCCAAAAAAAACCGTCCTTGTCTATATACTTTGTGAGGGTGGGAGGAGACAAGGGAGGCCCCTAGGATCGGCGTTTTGTATATTATTATTGTGAGGTTGGTGCGGCTGAAGCCGCTAATAGGAATGAGTCTTTGTTGTGTAGACTGGTTGAACTGGGAGGTTCCAAGAGTTGTTAAGGTGCGGCTGCTGTAAAGGTGCGGCTGCTGTAAATGGGACTGAGCCTTTGTTATGTAGATGAAACAGCCCTTTGCTACGTTGCTGGGATTAATTCTAGATTTGCCAAATATGTGTGGTCCGTCACTCAACACGTGGTCGGATTTCGCGGCCCAGTCTGGCCAAATTTGTGTCGAAGAAAACCCTCCGCCACCCAACACAGCCGGACAAATGTAATGTCCCCCTCTGCAAGGGCGTTTTACTTCCCAGTGAGTCAAGGAACAACTCTCACAGGCAAATGTAGCGATGAGATAATCAAAGCACCCCTACGTTGTGACAAGGCCTTCTTCCAGCAGTGGGTTCACCATCGGGTGTTTTGGTGGCTTCGTAGTCAGAAAGATGTCTGTGCCTGTGTATGTTCTCCCCCTATTCTGCATGGGTTTCTTACAGGTCCCTCCCATAGGTCAAACACACACCGTGTAACTGGTATTGGCCAACACATCCCACTGCTGAAACATCACCTGCACATTGCTCAATGTGCATGACACATTGTAGCATCATCACCGCCTTCTCTTCCAAAAAACCTGGCAGGACCCTCTTGACTAAAGCGTGTCCCGCATCTCCGTTGATCAGTTGGCTACGTACGGTACAAAAGAAGTTCAACATAAAGACAAAGATCCCCAATATAGCCTTAACAGACTGTTTGGGCAATTGCTGTTAGCGAGCACCCTTGAAGGCCGGCACGGCACACGAGGGAGTGGGTGGCCAGCACCACGCGCGGCCATCTTTTATCTCCCAAGTGGCGATGTTTACGCACCGCACCAAGTACTCATTTGAGGCTGAGTCGACCTAAATGAGGCTCAATACCGTTCGGATAATCGTCACCGCGTTCGTAGCGCAGCGTAGCGTTAACCCGCTACACTACGAAGTTCGACACACGTACGTACGACTGTGCCGGCAGTAAACTGTGGTTACGCTGTGAACACCGAGGGGTGTGCCCGAGCCGCCGATGGGAATACTAACAATGGTAAACGCGGAATAATAAACCAACATAATGTACGTATGCTGAACTTCATTCGCAACGTACGTAGCCAACCGTCCTATTCGGAGGTGCGGGCTAAGGAAAACAATGACAACAATAATAACAATAATATCAACAATAATAATACTAACTACAATAATAATAACAAATAATAACAATAAGGGAATTGTGTTCTGGTGACTCAAGGCTCACCTTGATCATCCAGATGCACTGCTCCATGGAGTGCGTGCCCAGGCAGCGCAGCTCGCGCTTGTGAAGGTCCCAGGCATCGCACTTGTTCTTCTCGCCGTCGCTGATGCAACACCAGCGCAGGGGGCTCTTGCCTACAAGACAAAGATCCCCCGTGTAGCCTTAACAGACTGTTGGGGCAAGTGCTGTGAGCGAGCACCTACGATGGCAGGCACGGCACACGAGGAGGTGGGTGGCCAACACCACGCCCGGCTGCTTTTGTCTCCCTAGTTGAGATTTTTACACACCAGGTACTCATTTGAGGCTGAGTCGACCTAGGGGAGGCCCATGACCGGTTCAGATAATCGTCACTGGTGTTGGCCGTGAGCGGAAATCGAACTCGGGTCGCCGAGTTCGTAGCGCAGCGTAGCGCTAACTGCGACACTACCATTATAGAGGTTTTTTTGGGTTAGATCGCGTAAATATAAATGTGTCGTTAAGCCCGCCACCACCCCCGTGCCCTTATACATCTCAACGTTCATCCTACAAAGTCCCATCACAAGGGGGAAACACAAACAAATAGACAACAACAACAATGTGTTGCCCGTATTGAAACGGCTGTACGCCGTATGGACCTGAAAACGAAATGTCCCTGTACAAGAATACCGGTGAACCGTGTGGGTTGACAGGTATGTTCCTGGTTCCAATCCGTTGGAATGAACTCCCACTCCACATCAACACTAGCAACTTCACTAAACCATTTTCCGTTCGTCCCTTGAGACTCATCTCGTTTCATTAGCATATCCCCCCACTGATTCCTGTCCTCATCCTTAAAACCTTCACGATCCTTCCCCTTTCTAACGTCGCCCCTCCCTTCCCCTTCCTTGCCATGCCTTCCCCTCCCCAACAGTCAAATCCCATCCCTTTTCCCCATCAGCCAATACTCCTAATGTACCATTTTTAACTCTTGTAAAGCGCTTTGATACGTAAAATCCTAGATAAGATGAGGGCCATTACTGAGAACATAAGCGACGAAATAAACGGGCGGACATATGCGCCTCCTTCCCATTGGCCGTCCCTCCACGTGGACCGTAGCGTAGATGCGCAGGGCGTCGTTGCGAGAGCGGGCGCCGCCCGTGTACCCTTTCTGCGGGCGCTAGAGAGGCTGGCGAGCGCGCTGGTGTACTCGGAGCCCAGGTAGCTGCGGTGGTTGAAGAGCGCCGGCAGGCGGAAGAGCGACTGCGTCGAGTCCTTGAAGAGGAGGTTCTTGCCGCCATACGAGGAAGAGCTGAAAAGCTCAAACTTGCTTTTTTGAGTCCCGTTCACTCCAAAGTAGTTCTGGCAGCAGAAGCAGCAGCAGCAATAGCAGCAGAGGTGGAATGCGAACATATTTTCCAGTGACGACAAGTCTCAAATGCCACTCACGAGCTGCTTCATTGGCCAGAATTGTATCAAAACATTGGCACCGTGAGGGCCGGCGTTAGGTGCGTCGCCGAGAACACCGGGCTCATTGAAAAAGGCCGGGCCACTGGGGAGAAATCTCCTCCTGAGCAGCAGCCGCACAGAACGGACAGCCCAGCCAGCGAGCAATCGCACCGGGATGGGCCCAGTCAAGGTTTTGGCCTTTTGACAATAAACTGATTAAAAACCAACATATCAATCGTTCGCGTAGTTGTGGAGAATATGAGCAATGGCATAATCGCACAGTGTGCCTGCTTTGCACCTCCGATTAGCGCGGTTCGCTATGTATGGTGCGAAAGAAAGTTCAACATACATATAATACGTGCTTCATACATCCATCTCTCCACGCGTGGAGGCGTATCATCACGGAAGAGCTATTTTCGTGGAGTTTTCATCTTATAGAGGTCGCATAATAACGTGCTTCCGGAAGGCCATGCATACAATTTCTTGACGCACAATTAAATAACCCGATGCGCATCATCACCAGAACTCTGAATCCGACACCAATCACCTGACTCCCTGGGGAGTTTACAACGTTTTCTTGCCAACGCCAACCACCTACCCACCATCAACCCAAGACCTCGGAAATACACCTCGCCATCGACTCAAGTTCCGATCCCCCTTCTGGAATCTCACCCAGATCTGGAAGAACGACGGTGAAGAGAATGGAACAACGCGGACGTTCAGATCGTACACATAATTCGAGTCCCAAACATCTCACCTCCTGGCTTTGACATTCCCCAAAGACACTGACGATGTAACCATCATCCACATCAGAAGATGAACAGGCTAATGCGCACATCTCCTTTATGAATGGAAAATTCAAGAGAAGCCACAGTCGCGCGATTGTGAGCATCCAACCAAAACTATGGACCATGTAGTAGACCCCTGTGGTCTCTACGCTTCTTTGCATGTATGTTGAACCTGTTTCGCACTGCACGTTGCCAACCATTCTAATCGGAGGTGCGGGGGATGGACAACAAACTAAACACAAAAATAAGTTCTAAAGAAATGAGTTTTTCAAGTTGGATATAAAAGTGCATAGCTCCGGTGGCTTCATAATATCAGAAGAACAAGTAAACCCGTAAAAACAAAGTGTTTCACTATAAATCCTTTATATGCGTGGCGGCTAGAGTCCTCTCGTCCTCTGGCTTGAGATGGCTGCCACCTATGGGTCAGATGATTGTCTGCCAGTATTAAGCAATTGGTAATTAAATATTTAATTTGTTTTCCCTAAACAGTGTAAAATTTTGCAAAAAAAATTTTCACGAACATTAATTGTCTCGCACAACGAGTCTGTGTGCAAAATGTCAGCTCGATTGGATCACGGGAAGTGGGTTAAAAAACGACCGAAAGATTTGCACGGTCTTAAGCAAGCAAGCAAGCACGCAAGCAAGCAAGCGAACTTAATATAAAGGATTTAAAAAGAGTCCCAGACGATCTTTGTTCGATATTTAAATGGGAGAAATATCAAAACTACGCAAACTCTCTCTGCCGAAGCGCTCTCATCCATCATGTCCAGCAGACTTCGTCATTGGCATCTAGCTCCAGGTCACATTGCTGCTGGCCATCACGCGCAAGCGCTACAGAATAACGTGGGTGAGGGGGGAGGGGAGGGATTTGGAGTCCCACCTCTGCCTCGTTGAGCAGACCCAGGATGGCGCTGCGCTTGCGCTGGTCGATGTCATCGCTGCTTCGAGCCACCACGGCGTGCGCGGCCACAAACGCGATGTGGCAGCGGCGGAAGTCGGACACCGGAGCGCGGCCGCCGTTCCCGCACAGCAGCTCGTAGCCAGCACGCTCCGCTTCTGCGCGTTGACAATTGTTAATACTCCCGTCGACGGCACGGGCACGCACACAGCCCTCGATAATCACAGTCCACTGCCGGCACAGTCGCTATGGACGTACGTGTATGTTGAACTTCTTTTGCACCGTACGTAGCGAACCGTGCCAAATCGGAGGTGCGAAACTTCTGGATTGTTCGTAAATGAATTGTGGGTAATGCTACACAATGGCGGCTGTGCACGTGGCCTGTCAGCCAGCACCGTGGAGGTAGTGAGGGCCGGCGCATCGCACAAATGTTGCAAAACGCCCTTTCCGTGGACATCGGGGATATGCTATTCCCTCTCTTCAAGAGTGAGCGAATACTGTGCAGCGAGTTGAATGTATTCTTGTTATTCTTACGAACTGGCCAAATCCGTACCGTTTAAACCCTCTGCCACCCGACACAGCCAAACAATTCAAATTGTCACGCAGTGTACACCGCGTTTGGGTGCCACAGTGGTGAGATGTTAACTGCCTTTCCTGGTATATAGGAGATTGTTGGGTTCAATCCCGATGCGTGTATATTTGGAGTTTGCATGTTTTCCCTGTGATCGCGTGGATTTTTCTCCGGGTCCTTCAGTTTGTCCCTCCACATTTAGAACACATGAGTTTAGACTATTTGGCTGCTATAAATGTCCACGTGATAAGCCACTTCGCTGAGCTATCATTTGTGACCAGGTCGCTTCTGAAAAAGAGCTACGTAGCTCAGTGGGCCTCACCTGGTAAAAAATTGTTTTTGTTAAGTTCAGTTTAACATCGCACCAATTATAATTGGTGCGATGGAACAATAATTATTATTGTTTCAACTCCCACTGGTAAGTCGATGTACAATTATCATAACCAAATTTAGCAATGATATATAGTAAGCTTCTATTTCGTTAATATATAAATCATCTGCCATCATCATGATCACTATTTGCCACCTGTATTACTTTCAACACCACCACCACATCATCATCATCATCATCGCCGCCACTACCGTTCTTCTATACATCAGCTATGAAGTTCGTACCCAATGTGAACCTTGAGTTTGATGATTTACATCACATATTGTGACACACACCGCATTTCATCACATTTTCATCACATGTTCATCACATGCTGATCACATGTTCCGGGCGGCCGGGTGGTGTAGGAGTAACGCTTCTGCCTCGCGGCAAAAAGTATCTGGGTTTGATTGGCAAGTCGGGAGTTTTCTGCGTGGCGTCTTACGTCGGTCCCCCCCCATTCACCATGGGTTTTCTCCAGACTCCCCGGGGTGCTCCCATCAGTAAGCACGTGTGCTATGTGTTGGCTACACGGCGGAATTCTGAAAAGTGACCCGGAAAAGTATTCAAATGAGGTCTGCACACCGCAGTAGCAACATCGGCCACCCTCTCCTGTGATAAGATTTTGACCGGACCCTCCTGACAAGGAGATGAGACACGGCGCGGCTTTTGTGGGTAAACAAATGCAGTTCTATCCTTGAGTTTGGCAACATATAAACGAGGTTCATAAAGCGCCTTTACCAAGGCGTTTTACAGCAATTCTAAAATTGTACATAGCATGATAATGATTTCAAACTGATAATTGGGTTATTGTAAGTGGTGGTGTAGTTTTCATGCCGTAAAACAAGAGGTGCTTGATAAGGAGGGGTTGCGATACGCCTGGTGGTAGCTGGGGCGCTACAGAAAGCTGCTGTAAATATGTAATGACAATAGAGCCTGCATGCGGTGTGAGGGGACTGGTGGCTACGGGAGGTAATGACAGCGGAGTCAGTTGTGAGTGCGAAGGGACTAGTGGCTACGGGAGGTAATGACAGGGGAGTCAGTTGTGAGTGCGAAGGGACTGGTGGCTACGGGAGGTAATGACAGGGGAGTCAGCTGTGAGTGCGGAGGGACTGGTGGCTACGGGACGTAATGACAGCTGAGTCAGTTGTGAGTGCGAAGGGACTGGTGACTACGGGAGGTAATGACAGGGGAGTCAGTTGTGAGTGCGAAGGGACTGGTGGCTACGGGAGGTAATGACAGGGGAGTCAGCTGTGAGTGCGAAGGGACTGGTGGCTATGGGAGGTAATGACAGGGGAGTCAGTTGTGAGTGCGAAGGGACTGGTGGCTACGGGAGGTAATGACAGGGGAGTCAGCTGTGAGTGCGAAGGGACTAGTGGCTATGGGAGGTAATGACAGGGGAGTCAGTTGTGAGTGTGAAGGGACTGGTGGCTACGGGAGGTAATGACAGGGGAGTCAGCTGTGAGTGTGAAGGGACTGGTGGCTACGGGAGGTAATGACAGCGGAGTCAATTGTGAGTGTGAGGGGACTAGTGGCTACGGGAGGTAATGACAGGGGAGTCAGTTGTGAGTGCGAAGGGACTGGTGGCTACGGGAATGATAGAGAAGGGAGCGTGGTCAGGTCACGGAAGAGGACAGTGGAGTCTGCTGGTGGAGCGAGCATCCAGAGTCAGCGAGAACGATCGAGAAGGGGATCGTGGCCTCGTGTTGAGATATAAGGGAGATGCGCGGGAGACTCGGGGCTGTTGCAGTGGGGGTCACCGCCGGATGTCAAGTGAACGTGTCTTCAATAAAGTGCCATCTCAAGAGAAGTGTGTCAAAGTCGTCATTACAAATATATAAAACAAGCGCAGTCTTCATAATAACAGCAAATAATAACGATACGAGCGTGAGCAGTCTGCACGCACCCGTGGTGTCTTCGTTGACGGTCACGTGCTTCACAAACGCCACGTCCCCTGCGTCCTCCTTCAAACACCTGCGCAGACACGAGAGAGCGAGCACGCGCGCACGGGGTTCAACGCACGTCCATGCGTTCGCACGAGCGGCGGGTCGCGTTCACCTCCCTTGCCGGCCCTGTGGACTGTCAGGCATGGCTTCAGACACTGCTCGCTCATAGCGGCTCATAACAACCGGGGCGACCGGCTGGATTCGAGCCGTGCCCCTCTGCGACGAGCAGTTGGCCGGGCGGCGTGACGTGCGAAGCCTCGCCTGAACGCGCCGCCGTAGTCGTAGTAGGGCTCCGCGGCGTTCTTCACACACTTGTTGTCGCCCTTGCCGATGCACAGCCCGCAGAGCTTCGCCTTGGAGGCCTTGTCAAGGAAGGGCAGCTCCTTGCTGCCCGGGGCGCAGCTCGACGAGAAGAAATTACTCACGGCTGTGGAACGGGGACGGGGTCGGGCAGGGAACAGCAGAAAGGAGGTGAACATTGCGATGAAGGGAGGACTGCGGAGAGTGCGGGGTGAGACGTTTTTTTTTAAACGTTATTTTGTTTAAACTCTGTGACTACTCAACAAGAGACCGGGATGAGTCTCGTTGGCAAGAGTGACCTGGATCAGCGCGGTGACAAAATGAAAGCAACAACAACAAAAAGACGTCCCGTGCTAAGCGATGGAGAGACCGGGAGGTTCACGCGGTGAGGTCCCCGTGATCGTGAGGTCATCAATCCCAGCCAGCAGAGCTACTGCCCCTCTTCAAATCCTCGGTCCTGTGCCTCAATTCAAAATGCGACTGAAACATTTTGTTTTGGGTTGTATTCATTTCGCAAACCCCGTTCGTCATCATCGACACGAGTGAGCTACACGCCGGAGCTGCCCCAGTGTCTTGTGTGGGTAGCATCACGTGGCGGGTGATGCAAACGGAGTCTGGTGACCGATGATATCAAAACATGTGATTCGACAACCAAACTACGTCGAATAACTAAATCTAAATAAATATTCAATGACATAGTGGAACGGTTTACAGGACGGTATGGAAATGCTAACGTCATTTGTGCGAAAGGCAAACAAAATCCTGATTGCTTCATCCTAGACAACACACAGTGATAACTCTACAGCACTTGTTTAGAGAGCTCTGAGTCAACATGAAGGACATCATCTCATACTGTCTGTCGAAACCAGTGGGAGGCTCACAGCCCCAGAGCTATTAATCATTTAACTCTGTCCAAATATTTGAAGCTGGGCTTAGCAGAATACATCTGCCGAGTCATCATCTTCATCAAGAGCCTCTGCAATATCAGCAATTCCTAGTGAGGAATGTCTGACACAATGTCTGATGGTCCACGTGCAACTGTGATATTGGGCGCCTTGGTGGTAGGATGTTAATTACCTCGCCTGGTATGCAGGAGGTCGTGGGTTTGATCCAGACCCCAACCGGCTGTTGTATGTTTGAAGTTTGTGTCTGTCTCTCTCCCCGTGGTTGCATGGATTTTTCTCCGGGTCCTCTGGTTGGTCTTTCCACATTTAGAATCACGCGTTTAGAGTATTTAGCTGCTATAAATGTGCACGTAATAGGCCACTTCGTTGAGCTATCATTTGTGACAGCCAGGTTGCTTCTGAAAAAGAGCTATTCAGCTCAGTGGACCTTGCCTGGTAAAATAAATATCAATATTTATAGCTGTTCTACAATGCAATACGTTCCATATGAGTATTATTATTCTGCTTGATAACCTAGGAAAGCCTTACCAAGTCTCAATAACTTTTCAGCGGTGGGTCCTGCCAAGCGGCGATGTTTGCTGCTGTTGTGTAATCCCAGTTGAGTCATTTACAGGTCACAGTCGACCATTGGGGGTGTGTGGCCAATACCAATGACTGTGGGAGTGTTTTTTTGAGATAGTGGTGGAAACTAAAAAAACCCGGTCGAATCCCACGCAGAACGAGGTGGGGGGGGGGGGGGGGGGTGTGGGGGAGATCACCCGGACAGAAAAGTGTCCCGAGTTGGGAATAAAACCCAGGATCTTCTTGCAGTGAGGCGCAAGTGGTTACCACTGTGCCACACTGCCGCACTGGAATGTCAGCCCAAAAGGAGAGATAACATCTGGAGGAGGGCGACTCCCATGGAGATGGACCCATGAGATGAGCTCAAGTGGCACGGCAGGACCAAGAGAGATTGTGGCAGCATGAGGAAGCCCTCATCCAGGAGTGAATCGGCAGGAGATGGAGACTCGGAACCACCCGTTTAGCGTTTGTGTCAAACTCCCCACAGACCGTTCCGCGTGTTCACGCCGGGGGCGGCACCTTTCTCGACGGAGCCCGAGCTGGGCCCGTCCCACGTGAGGATGCCTCTCTCCAGGAGCTTCCCGATCGGCAGGTTCCAGCCGGCCGACTTGCCCACGCCCGTGTGGCACGACTTCTTGCCTTCCAGGTTGCTCAGGTCCGACACGCGGCCCGCCTTGACCACCTGCCACCGCGTAGTAGCACGCGCCCTGGGCTGGAGGATACGGCGGAGGAAGAGGGGAGTAAAGGAAAACCCTACAAATAAAGTCATATACACGCCGGCTTATGGGCTTATTACGTGCTAACCTCCCACCGCTCAGTGGATCTGCTCCCGCGCGTTCACGGCCGAGGGGCGATTGGCCACTTCCTTCCACCCTGTCCCTGTCTCCCGACCTCTTTGCAAGTTTCCCTCTTCATTTTAGACTCGTTGAGAAGGGGGCCCACCTGGTCTCGAGTTCCCATTTTCTCCCGTTAAGCTTGTGGCTTAGGTGCTCAATACCTGCTTGGGCTAAAAGGGACGGGGGGGGGGGGTAAAGCGTGCATAATTCATTTAGATCAGAATACCAGAATCAGAATCTGTGTTGATATTGGAGGAATCTTATGAGCTGTGAAGTTCTTTTTCATGGATGTCCAGTAGATCCAGTCGGTGGTGGATCCCAGGTGGGGGGGGGGGGTAAATATCTTATTCACCAGCGGCATGGCTAACCGCACCTCCCATTAGCACGGTTGGCTACAGTCAGTGCGAAAGAAGTTCAACTCACCATTGGAACCTCATTTGCCAGAAGAAAAATATGATAATTGTTTTTTTACCCTTTTATCTGGCAACAAAACTGACACCTTTTTGCACCTCATGCAAACATGACTCCTTGTAAAAAAAGGTGTCAGTTTTGTTGCCAGATAAAAGGGTAAAAAAACAATTATCAAGTTCAACATACATATGCAATGATTTAAATTGTGTAAGCTGAGATTTGACGTAATTCTGATGCTCTAAGTGATTGGGTATTTGCTATGTCACTTCAGTCAGAATAGGTTACAGGTGGTCAGTCGATATTCAATATCTGATACCCCAGGGCACCAAATAATACAAAATGGCCGAGGCAATTAAATGTTTTATTTCTGGGACACTTTTTTTTTCCAGGGGTGTACTTCACTCCGCGACTAGGGTACCAATCAATCCGAAATCAGTGCCACACTCCGCGATGTCGAAACGCAGCGAGGATGCTTGCGCTGAAACCCTAAACGCTCGTACGCACCGTAGTGGTGCATCGTGTACAGCTCGTCGAGATGAGTCGATTGCCGCATCGGCAACCATCAACAGACTAAGAATGACCGCATCACGGACATTGTGCGAGAGCCGGGGTACTGTGGTGCCCCGGGGAACCGCCATAAGGTTCATCGGAGTTCCTGATAGCCACCAATTAGGATGTTTATACATTAATTAATAATAATAGAGCCACAATTTGGTTCACTAGTGTTCGTGACGTCAATGTGTTATTTGGGTCAACTTTCTCGACACAAATGTGATGTCGGTTTTCCGTATCAGGACACGAATCGAGAACCAACTCGACCGCAGGTCATGAGTTGTGTAGCTCTGAGCGAAAGGAAGTCACCGATAGGCAATGGGACGTGTCTCTTTTTGCTTGTTGAACTATCATCAGCACGTCTGTGTACAATCGCCATTGAGCCGATATACAAAAGATAAGCACAGGAATTTAGGAGAAAATAAAAATCGGACATCGAACTATTAAAAAGTAACTCAAAGTGATGATGTATTGCATAGTTTTGCGTGAAACTGTGACCCATGGCTTATAGAGAGAGTCGTGGTCTATAAACATATGGCAGTTCACCATCATTGGTCCGAGCAAGCCTGCATCTGCTGATGACATCAGAATCAGAGTCTTTATTTAGAGTGCAGGAGGAATCCGTTGAGCTAGGAAGCTCTTTTTCACAGAGATGCTAAATGTTGACACCACGCCAGGGGTTCTGCCAATGCTGCTGATGCGATGCACTCGCAAGATGTTCGTGTGGTCACGGGATTGTGTAAAAATAAAAAGTCCCAATCTTTTCCGTGAAGACACAGATTTGGGAAGGAGGTGTTATTTATTTTCTGAAGAAAAGTGGGACTACTGGAATGGGATTACAGATCATGAGGGATGTTGATGGCTTGGGAGATATTTATCCAGCAGTGGAGAATGGCTGATGATGACAATGATGATCAACTCCGTGACAAAGCAAATACATTTCTGTAAAAATAAAATAGCTTCACCTCTTAATCCCCAGTTGCCATGCAAATGTAGAAAGCCAACATGTATACATTCTCAGGTCATTCTTGTAAGGTAAGCCACCCAGGAATGTATTGCGATCTGGTGCTCCCACAATGCACCAGGCAAAGTGATGCAACGATGCAGTGAGTATGCTCGCTGCGTGAGGCTCTAAGGACACAATGCGGTCTTGGGATTTTCACTGCGATTGTGGATACAATACATTGTGACGTCTCACATAAAGCTCAAGGCTGATGGTGATGACAGATACAAGTGAGGTAGCAGTGCATGCTATCATCATCAGATAAAACAAACGTCATATCTCATTGATAAATTTGGTAGTGAGGATTGTTCTTCAACTCATTGGTGAGCTGAATCAATAATAATTGGCGTGTTAAATGCTTGTACACGTGACAATTTAATTTGGTTGGCTGTCTCGGGCAGTGAAATATGGTCTTCAGGACACAAATTGTGTCAGATCATTATGCGACCTAACTCGAACATGAATCATTAAGGATTAGCATGACAATTGCAACAATGATGACGACGACGATGATGATGATTGCAGCTCTTACCAGGCCCGTAGTCCTCGCCTGCAAGTGGCCTGAGGTTGTAGGGGGCTTCTCCGGCCTTGTAAATGTCTCCTCCGTCCAGGGTGACTGCATCAGCGCGGAGCGACTGCGGGGACAGGCGTCACAAGAGAAGCTATGCAACTCCGCTGGTCAGCTTCGGGTCTCATCTCCAGTGACGCACACAGAACGTCTAGCAACGGCAGCTTGTCCACGAGCATTATGACCACGATTGTTGTACAATGTTTTTTTTTCTGCTGATTTTGCATTACCAGCAACCGCTTTAAAAATAAATTTGGTGACCGGTTTTGCCGCAATGCACAGAAATGTCTAGAAAAATAAACATTCCTACCTTTGTAGCTGAGGGAACCTAAGGGAGCTGCCACAGTGGTGTGATACTTTAGCAAAATATGAAGTTGCCTCCTGCCTTCATGCAAACGCACACACGCTATATAAGTGAAATAGTTCATATATAGAACTTCACAATTCCAGAGGTCGCCAGTTCCAGTGCAGCGAATTTCTTAGGCCGCAGTGTGGTTTGTACGTCCTCGCGTGCCAATCGGTGCATTCGTTATTACATGCCACTGGAAATGATTCCTGGTTCCTGGAACCGATAATCGATTCTGAAAATGGTTACACGTTTACTAGGTCATCGTTTAACAACCCTGATTACTGCACTTCTCGCATTACTACCACCACCATTGCTGATCTACCACTGCCAGCACCACCATCCATCACAAGTGTCACCATCCATTACCAGCATCACCAGCACTTGCATAACCAGTAGGAGTGTAACTCATTTGTTTGCATTCTTCATAATTGCTTTGCGGGTTTGGCCACGTAATTAACTGGCAAATGTCGTGTCGTGAACACCCTCCACCACCCTACGCAGCCAAACGGGTTAAATGGTGATGTGTACACGCATGTAATTGGACAGTTATTACTGTGTCAGCTCACCGGTGAGTTGAAAAACATTCTTAACCAGATTCAGCAGCAGTTAGATACGCGACGTTGAAACTATGTCAAGCATCTTCGGGAGAGATTCAGAAAGTCAGAATCAAATCCAGAAACTCTGAATTATGCATTTGTACCTTAAAAATATAATATTAATAATATTGGCTGCGAAAAAACCTTACGCGCTAAGTTAACAACATGACTTGAAGCTGCAATACGGTCACCAGGCAAATTGGAATCTGTCAATCAGGGCAGCAGTAGCGCTCTGGTTGGCAATGTGAACCTCGTGACCTTATTTTGATTCCTGCCTAAGGCTAACATCAGTCCCGGGTCACAGCCCCAAACCCCCTCGTCAATCGGCGCTGAGCAGCACGGCCAAGTAGAGTTAAAAACAGCCCTCACGGGGATGCAGCATGGGCGTGCCTTCGTCCATGAGCGGATGGCCAAGGAGCTGTCTGTACATGAGTCTTTTAATCAATTTGTATTTGTTATCCTCACACTACTTCTGATTTTAGAGCTATACGCGGAATGACTCAACAGACATTTCTCAATAAATCAAGAGCCGCTCCGTATGATTATCCTCCCACTGCTCCCGCGAGGCGTGATGGCTCACAAACGTTGTGATTTTCAATAGAATCAAAATCATTTTTTTCAGGTCGTCTGTGGCCAAAAACTCTTGAACCTAATGTTGTCCAAATTGGTGAGGGATCGCGTATCCCGATGCACAACAAAAGGGCCACATTTAAACTAAACTATTTAAACTAAATTACTTTTATTTTACCAGGTAAGGTCCACTGAGCTGCTATACAGCTCTTTTACAGAAGCGACCTGGCCTCAAATGATTGCTAAAATTAATGATTTATCACGTGGACATTTATAGCAGCCAAATAGTCTAAACACGTGATGTTGATTCTCAATATGGTGGGAAAAACTGGAGGACCCAGAGAAAAATCTACGCAACCACGGGGAGAGAAATGCAAACTCCAAATATACAAGCGTCAGGGTCGGGATCGAACCCACGACCTCCTGTTTACCAGGCGAGGGAGTTCACATCTCACCACAGTGGCAACTTATTGTCTCCCTCACGCTATGAATGACGACAAAAGGCCCCCAGTTTGCGCTCTAAGTTAAAGTGCCGATGAACACATTCGTGAAGCTGCGCGTGATTGTTTAGTACCTTTGGTATTCACGGCATTGTTAGAGCACAAGGCGATTGCGAAGGATGCAGTCGGGGGGTAATGTTGCTTTTGTGTAATCCCAATGGAATAATTTTCGAATTATTTTCAAATTAGGCAAGTTAGGGTCGTGCCACCGCACACAACGGCCTCCTCTTTTCGAACGAGACCACAGGGATTAGCATCCGTCGCGAGGCAGATTTGTGCAGAGTATTTTACGGGTATTACACACTGAAGTATAGAGCTCTTCGGATTGGCAAAACCCTTTGCAAGAAGGCACTACCACTGGGCCAAATGACCGACCTTGATCGTCTCGTAGCATTCGTTGGGGCTGTCGCGCTGGACACACAGCAGCGAGAACTGGCTCTTGAGGTCTCCAAGCGCCTTCGCCAGATCCAGACACTTCTTCTTCTCCTTGTCGGACGTGACGCACCAGCGCACCTCGTTCGGGTTCACCACCAGGGCCTGGGTCATCCACCCTGCAGAGGTGCGCACGGCCACAGTGGTGGCTAAGGTCAGACTGAGACCAACGCAGGAAAAACTCATGCACATTGGTTAACATGGAGAAAACGGAATGCACATTGGTTAACATGGAGAAAACGGAATGCACATTGATTAACATGGAGAAAACGGAATGCACATTGGCTGACATGGAGAAAACGGAATGCACATTGGTTCACATGGAGAAAACGGAATGCCCATGGGCTAACATGGAGAAAACGGAATGCCCATTGGCTGATATGGAGAAAACGGAATTCTAATTGGGGCCAACAGTAAGTGGAGTCAATGCAAGGCTGTGATGCAGATTCGACATTACGATGCCAAGGCAACCACTGTTCTCAAAAGTTACTTTCAGAAAGAGGTGCAGCATGACCAGCTGGTGGTGCTCAGTGTGTTGAGACTTCATGTGAGTTGTGCAATATTCATTCAGGAACCTTAACTCGTGCTCTGCAACATCCATGTTTAAGTCTTCTGTTTAGTATCGCTTCCTCGCGCACCACAGAACTTTCTTTCCCAAATAGCCGGGAAACTGACGAAACTGTGGCTATCCGTGCAAGACATTAATTACATCTAAACTAATGTCAGCTTTTGACTCGGTGATGCTTTCCGAGCTGAACAAGCTCAATAATAATAATGGTAATACTGTTATAGACAATAGAGCAACGTAGAAGTTAGGAAACTCAAGCCTTGACGAGCGGAGTGTGAATGCATAAATACTTTTTTGGGTTAGATCGCGTCAATATAAATGTGTCGTTAAATCCGCCACCACCCAACACAGCCAATTAGTAAGGTTTGTCACGTAAACAGAACATTAATTCTAGATTTGAAGTTTTCGTGACTGCAAGTATCTATACTTTTTTTTCGGTAAAGTTACGTAGGAATTTTTTTTTAATGAAAACTAAATTGTGTTGCGCCCGAAACGTCGTGATTTAATTTAGTTGCTTTCATTTTATTTAGTTTTTTTACCTACGTGACTTTACCGAAAAAAACAAAAAGTATAAACAGAACGTGCCAAACATTTATATTTACACGATCTAACACCCCCAAAAAAACCTGTATTACGGATGAAATTGCTCGCGAAAGCCCCCTACGTGTTTAACTGCGTGTAAATGATGCCCTTGGGTGATTCACTGCCACAGGGCGAGTTGCAGTAAGACAAGGGCATCGCTGCGACCTACCGCACGCCGCCACGGTGACCAGCCACACGGAGAGCTTCATGGTGAGGCAAGGGGGCAGCAGCCGGGGTCCTCTGGGGGCGCAGAGGAGGGAGACTGGAGGGCTGTGGCCAGGTCGCTGGCTTAAATAGGGCCCCAAAAGCACTTGCTCCCCAATCAGCGACAGCAACCACACTCACTGCCCCCCACTCCGCACTCGTGCACACATTCCTCCCTCCTGCCAGAAAATTCCACTTCATTGCAACTGTGGACTGACCACTGTTGACTTGCAAACATTGGTCGAGTTAATCTACTGCGATTAAAGGATTGCAATTAAGGGGAAACTTGTAGCTATTTTACGGGAAACCCACCAAAAAAAACTGGCTGCTTTGTTAAGCCACGTTAGCGTGGGTGTCAGCGATGCTCTGTGAGAATATACATCGGTTCTAGATTTGGTGATCTGTGCCTCGGATACGTGGATTTTTGTGCCATTTTTGTTATTCTTGGTTCTTTTGGTAAAGTCACGTAGATATGAAATAAAAATTAAAGTAATAAAATTAAATTAAAATAAAAAATGAAACACAAGACCGCTTGTGTTGCGATAGAAACGTCGTGGGTTTTTTTGCTTTTATTATTTAAAATTTCTTATTATTATTTCTTCTTTTTTATTTTATTTTATTATTTTTATTTTCTATCTACGTGACTTTACCGAAAGAACCAAGAATATAAATTCCTGCAGTCACGAAAGTTTTCATTTTGTTGATGTTCATGCAAGGCTTATTATTCAAATTGTAACCAATTATATTCGTTTGTTACAAGAATAATACATTTTCAAATTCACATCGATTCAGAATCCAGTAAGTTATTGTAATTGAGTGCAAATTCATTTTGGGAAGAGCGACTTCAGATTTTTTTTGCGAAAATTTGTGAAAATTCGTGAACCCTCTCTTTCCTGTTCATAGTTTACTTTTAAAATTTCACATCAATACAGAACCCAGTAAGTCGATACTTATAATAATGAAATCATCCCTACAACACATTTGCCACACACATAAGTCGAGAACCAAGTGTCTATATATTTGTATTGGAAAGCCAATTTTTGTATTGAAACATTCCGTTGGTTGACTGTCTTCCCGACAGAAAGGTAACTCAAACAGCTCTTAACAACGCTACTACGATAATTGTGCTTTAGAATTGAAAGACTTTATTCACAGGTTTGTAATAAATTACTCTTAGAAGGAGTCAATTACAATGCAGCGCATCACAATCACTACTTTGGGTTTCATTCGGATACACCCAGAAGGATTTGCAGACAGAGAGAGACTTTGACTTTTAAACAACTTTTATTGTCGCCAGCAGCCTCAGCACTGCATGGAGGCGATTCCGATATGAAATACACAAAGTCACCAGCAACACAAATACACAAGCGCTATAAATCGAGAGAGAGACAGTTTTCAGATTCATGTATTAGGTATAGCCCTGTGAGCCATTCGGCTCTTAAATCGGGTGCAAACGCAACAAACAAAAACAAGAAAACATCTTAAAGTGACTAAGTGCAAACAGAAAATCCAAGAAAAGACAGCAAAATATTGCAGAAAAAGCACCGTAAACCAACGCTGTGTGCAAAAATCCCAGTGGGATGCAAGTCAAACAACAACAACCACAAGACAACTTAGATTACGGCCATCGTTGACAGTATTCGCACGTGGACAGCAGAGGTGGCGTGATGGACACAGCCGTTTCAATACGGGCGGCACAAGCTGTCTGTGTGTTTGGGGCCGTCCATATATGACGTCACGCACCTAGGGGGGGGGGGTCAAACATTTGTGACGATTTGTGACGAGGGGGGGGGGGGTGAGAAATGTGACGTCACATCAAAAAGCGCAACTTTTAATAAATATAGACAACACGTTCTACTTAATTAAATAGACTTTTTAATAAATGTTTTCTCCTACAACATCAGAGTGCAGCGCCACATTAAAACGCACTACAATGACAATAGTTTAAAGCGATTTGAAGCATGTTTTATTTTGGAGGGGGGGCAGAGCTTTGTGACGTCATATTTAAGGGGGGGACTTTTTGTGACGTCGTGTGACGAGGGGGGGCAAACATCGTCCAAAATCGCGTGACGTCATTTATGGACAGCCCAAGTGTTTCTGCCTTGTGATGGCACTTTGTAGGATTAACGTTGAGATGTATAAGGGCACGGGATGACCAATCAGGGCTAAATTTGTATGTGATAAAGTAGGGCACTGATAAGGGGTTGACAGGTAGGCGCACAAGTATAGCTCGTGCTGTACTTGTGCGCACTTGGGAATAAAGGGGAAACTTATTGTCATATTTTGGTACTGGCAAAGGAGGTCCCATGATGACTGATATCTATTTTGGAATATCTGAATAGTTTGATGTTAATGCGCATTATGAAATGTATTGATGTCATCCGAAACTTATATACATTACGGAATCAATTTCTGCGTGCTGGTACTGCTCATACACACTATGGAATCAATCCTGCGCGCACTACTTATACGCATTATGTTATTATATAGTATGATGCTAATGCACGTTATGAAATGTATTGCTATGTTCATCCTACTTATATACATTACGGAATAAATGTCTGCGTGCGCGTACTAATATGCACTATGGAATTAAATAGCATGATGCTAATGCGCGTTATGAAATATATTGCTATGTTCATCCTATACTTATACACATTACGGAATCAATTTCTGCGTGCGCGTACTACTTATACGCACTATGGAATTAAATAGCACGATGCTAATGCGCGTTATGAAATGTATTGCTATGTTCATCCTATACTTATACACATTACGGAATCAATTTCTGCGTGCGCGTACTACTTATACGCACTATGGAATTAAATAGCACTATGCTAATGCGCGTTATGAAATGTATTGCTATGTTCATCCTATACTTATACACATTACGGAATCAATTTCTGCGTAAGCGTACTACTTATACGCACTATGGAATTAAATAGCGCGATGCTAATGCGCACTATGAAATGTAACACGACGCTCGCGCTATACTTGTGCGCAGTGGGGAATGTGAAGCGGAACGCGGCTTCGTGACGACGACGACGATGGCCACGCAGTCGGGCGCTCGGCGGCCGCCCTCGGTGGCGAGCGGGGCCCTCCCCCCCCAGCCGCAGCCGCAGGGCCCCGGGTCCAGGGCCCCCCTCCAGCCGCAGGGCCCCGGGTCCAGGGCCCCCCTCCAGCAGCCGCAGGGCCCCGGGTCCAGGGCCCCCGGGGAGCAGCCGGCGGGCAGGGAGCACTGGGGCCCCGGCGCCCCGGCCATGGCGCTGCTGAGCGAGCGGCAGGGAGACAGCGTGGCGGCGCTGCAGGCGCTGGCGGAGAGCAGAGCCCTGCCCGAGCAGGTAACGAGGGGTAACGAGGTGGTAACGAGATGGTAACGAGATGGTAACAAGGGGTAACGAGATGGTAACGAGGGGTAACAATCAGCGACGAGTAGTAACGAGATAGTAACTAGGGGTAACGAGATGGTAACGAGATGGTAACGAGGGGTAACGAGGAGACAGATTAATCAGTGACGAGGACTACAGGGTGAGAATCTTGATGTTAGACTGGAGGCGTAAATCCGATGAGCTGTGAAGCTCTTTCCCCCAACTGCGCCAGTCGTCGGGTCACGAGGAGCCGCCACAGGAGCCGGAGTTGATATTCACACCACCCGGTGATTTAGCGTCACCGGCTGATGACTCCAATATGTACGGTGCGAAAGAAATTCAGCGTAGGGGCCCTAGCCATTCGCGAGTGCGGCCTTGGGCATTGGTCTGTGGCCCACAGTGGCCCACACACGACGGCGTGGGCCCTCTCACTCCCGCCGTGCAAGTAGCAACGCATTTTAAAATTGTTTGTGGTGATTCCACACGGGAGAATTAGTAATGATCGGGGCGGCCGCTGCATCCGAACCGCGCACCTCGGCCACGACTTCTGCGCAGCCCTTGGACGTTGCTGTCTCAGCGTGCGGCGCATGGAGCGGTGGCGCCGCGGTTAGCGCATCGCAGTGTGGAGCAGCCGGCAAGCCGAGTTCGATTCCCGCTCACGGCCAACACCAGAGACGATTATCTAAACCGGTTCTGGGCCTGCCCTAAGTCGACTCGGCCTCAAATGAGTACCTGTGTGCGGTGTGTAAACGTCGCCACTGGGGAGACAAAGGCGGCCGGGCCGTGGGCTGGCCACCCACTCCCTCGTGCGCTGTACCGGCCTTCATAAGGTGCTCGCTAACAGCACTTGCTCCTACGGTCTCTGAAGGCTATACAGGGGAACTTTGTCTTTGTTCGACTTGATTGAGCACCTCCTGTGTATAAACATCAGCACTGGGGAGACAAAGGCGGCAGTTACCTGAACACAACTGTCCCTCATCTTCATTGATAGGTTCTCACTTACACTGGCCCCAACAGTCTGTTAAAGGCTCTACACTTCCGCTCATGACCAGCGGCAGCGTAGAGGTTAACTCACTGCAACTACGAACCCAGGCCCCAAGTTCAATTCCCGCTCACAAACAATAACTGGCGCATATTTGAACTCGTCACCGGGCTGCCCTAGGTCGACTCAGCCTTGAATGTGTCCCTGGTGTAGCGTGTAAAGCATCAGTGCTGGTGAGACAAAGGCGGGCCCACTCGTGGTCTTGGAAACTCACCCCCATTATGTGCCATGTCTGCTCGCTCACAGAACTTTTTCCAACAGCCAGTTCAAGGCTATTGGGAGGGGGGACCGAGGTCCTCCCTATATCACGGTCCACCCTAAACCGCATCCGCACAAACCATGGCAGACGCGGATGCACAAATGTCAAATGTCAAATTCTCCAGTGTGCCATCGCAGCGATGCACTCCGCTGCTCCTGACGCGGTTGCCTGGCTTCACCACCTGAATGTGAAATCGCAGTTGTTGCTCTGCATCTGCATCACCCATACGAAAGGAGAAGGAGTGGGGCGATGTTTGTCGTTGTGTGCCCACGTGTCCCTCCGGCAGCTGCCCCTGGAGGAGCTGACGAGGCTGCCCAGCCGCCCCTTGCAGCTGCCGGCGCCCCTCGCCGCACCCGCGTCTCTCGAGGAGGCCCTGTCCAACGGC